GCTGGCAGACCCCGGGCTCAGCCCCCGTGAGCGTGTGGGCACCGGGCAGAGGCCCTCCAGGGGGTGAGGGTCGTCTCCTGGGAGCCCCTGTCACCAGCACAGACAGGCGGGGAGCTAGCTGGCGGGCTTGCCCAGGGCCCCCTGTGCTCAGCTTCAGTCCCTTCACTCAGTGCCTTGATTTTCACAGCAGCCCTACGAGCATGTCATGGTGAATGCCTCCATTTTACAGATGGGGAAACTGAGGCTCCGAGACATTGAGTCATGAGCTCAAGGTTACCCAGGAGGGGCAGAGCAGGGCTCAAACCCATTCTCTCTCTCTTTTTTTTAAATATAATTTTACATAAAAAAAATTATTGAGTGATTTGAGAGAGAGAACAGAGAGAGAGAGAGAGACTTGTTGTTGCACTTATTTATGCAGTCACTGGTTAATTCTTGTGTGTGCCCTGACCGGGCATTGAACCCACAGCCTTGGCATATTGGGACAATGCTCTAACCACCGAGCTACCCAGCCAGGGCCCAAAGTCCATTCTTGACGGTGAGGCCGTGCTGCCCGCCGAGAGCAGGCGTTGCCGTTCCTGTGTCACGCAGTCGCACGTGCTCCTGGGTGCCGAGGAGGAGGTGCCGCCGCACTGGCATGGGCACATGCGGCCCCCGCAGGCCCCCTCGTTCCTCCATGACCCAGGGCCCTCTCTAGGCCCCGCTGTGCATCTCCCCAAACAGGTTTGGGCGGAAGTCCATGCTGAGCTGGTGCTGCCTACAGGTGGCCCTGGCCAACACCAGCGCCATCTTTGCCCCCAATTTCCTCGTCTATTGTGGCCTCCGGTTTCTGAATGCCTTCGGATTGGCCGGCATCATCCTGACCTCGACGACGCTCAGTGAGTCACCGGCTCGGCCGCCTCCTGCCCGGGGAGGAGGGGAGGGTGGGGCTCAAGGCCACCACTCGGGCCCTCACCTGCCCCTCCCTCGCCTTTCAGTGGTGGAGTGGACCACCACCCGCAGGAGGGCGGTCACCATGACGATCCTGGGATGCACCTACTGCACAGGCCAGATGATCCTGGGTGGTCTGGCCTTCGCTCTGCGGGACTGGCGAGCCCTCCATCTGGCCACGTCGGCGCCCTTCTTTGCCATCTTCCTGATATCCTTGTAGGTACAGTGTGGGGCCTTTCCCTTGGGGAGAGCATCGCTGAACGGGAGGGGGACCCACAACCCCAGCACCCTGGCTGGCCGTGGTTCCAGAATGCTGAGAGCCTGGGAAGGGAGTGCTGTGAGCGGAGCCCTGGCTGGTGAGAGACGGTCTGGGACTCAGAGTTCCAGGGCATTTCAGCCAAAGGTCTGAGGGCCCCATCCCGCCCACTGGCCTCCCGCACATGGGCATCATCGTGCCCTACCCCCCCACACATACACATGTGCGCACGTCACCTGTCAGGCCTGTGGCATCCCTGTCGGTGCGGACCGGCATCAGATACGGGAAGATTCATCCTCACTATTATGTTGATGCCACAAAGATCCCTGGGGTCTGCGAACACCTGCTGGGGTTGGGGGTGGGGGGAGATGCAGGAACAAACACAAGTTCAGGCCCCCACAGGCTCTCTGTGCCCGTGAGTCAGCGTGGAGCTCAGGGCCCAGGTGCGTCGATCTGGGGTGTAGCGAGTCCTAAGGGCTCATTCATTTCGTCTCAAATGTTTACCTCGCTCCCACCCGCGCCAGACATGGCTGTCGGCACTGCGGCCACAGCAGCAAACACAGCCACTGACCACATGGAGTTTTGTTGCATCAACAGGCTCCATAGCAACAAGGAAGACAGCCCATAATGACACTAATTCGGCACCCCCCACCCCCGCGCCCCGGCGCACTGAGGGGCGTCCTGGGTGCTGTTGGTAACACCAATGAGGGGCTGAGGCCCCAGAGAGCGGCCCAGAGACCTGCCCGAGGCCACACATGTGAGCGCCAGGGGAGGCCTGGCACCCGGGCAGGCTGACCGCAAACAGAGCCGAGAGCCTGTGGCTGGGAAGGCTCTGCCCGTTCACCAGGGAGACCCTCTCCCTGCCCATCTGCCCTGACGCCGGGAGGAAGCAGACTCACGTATAAAACCATTCTCTTCTGGCGGGGGATGTTCTAGATGTGTGCTGTGTGTTTTTTGTTTGTTTGCTTGCTTTTAAATTCAGCATGACGTACGCTTTCTGCCATAGAAATGCCCCAGAAAAAGAAGAAAGAAAGAAATGGCCCAGGATCACCCAGGCCCGGGCAGCCTGTGTGCTGGCCGTGCCCAGTGCTCTGATGGGCAGGATCCCGGCAGCCAGGAAGCCAGGTGGAGTGGGCCTGGGGGAGAGGTGACCAGGCGTCAGGGCTCATCCGAAACCATCAGGGACTGCGCCGCCTGGCCTGGCATTAGCACTGGAGACGTGGCTGCCATCTCCTCACGCCCACGGCAGTGGGAGGGCCTGCCGCCCCCCTGACTGGGGGAGGGCCCAGCAGCACCCACGTCTTTAACAGGTGGCTGCCGGAGTCCGCACGCTGGCTCATCATCACGGGCAAACCAGAGCGAGCGCTTGAGGAACTGAAAAAGGTGGCCAGGATAAACGGCCACAGGGAGGCCAAGAAGGCCCTGACCATAGAGGTGAGATGCCGCTGGGGGTGACCCAGTGCGGGGCGTGGCCGGGGACAGGCACCCACCGAGGTCCTATCAGTGTTACCACCAGCTTCACCACTGCCCACACCGCACCGCCAGCTTCACCACTGCCCACACCGCACCGCCAACTTCACCACTGCCCACACCGCACCACCGCCATCAACACCCCACACCAGACCGCCCACCATCATCACCATCATCCCCATCATCATCCCCATCATCATCACCACCATCACCATCACCATCATCACCACCATCACCATCATCATCTCCATCACCATCAACACCATCATCATCTCCATCGTCACCATCACCACCACCATCACCACCACCATCATCACCACCATCACCACCACCACCTCCATCACCACCACCATCATTACCACCATCATCACCATCATTACCATCCTCATCACCACCATCATCACCACTGTCATCATTTCTATTCAAACACAACTACCATCACTACCACCAATAATAATAATACCACTAATATCAACACCATCCACAACAGCATTACAACTATCCACACTCCACCATCACCTCCACCACCTCCATCATCACCTACAGACCACCACTATCAACTTAATCTTCATCACCACTAGCATCACCAATACCATTACTGACATCACCATCAGCATCTCTACAAAACACCATCACTATTACCTTCAACACCATCATGACTGTTATCACCACCACCACCACCACCACCACCAGTAACAATACAACCATTATCAACAACATATCCACGTCACCACCACCTCATTATTCACCACCTCAATCCGCATATATTGCACACTCACCTCATGGGCTGCTCCATGTATTGGGGAAAAGGATCTCTTATTTGAAGGGAGCTTCTCAAGGAAGCAGGTGTGGAGGGTGTGCAGCCAAAGATGAGGGGAGGCAAAATGCCCTGGGGTGGGAGGATCAGGGAAGGCTTCTAGGAGGAGGCAGGCTAGAGCTGAGCAGGACTGAACTGAGCACAGGGCAGGCAGGGCTCAGAGGTGCAGGAGGACCAGGCCCAGACTTAGTTTCTGGCAGTGGTGGGGACTGTGAGAGACAGGGTTGACCAGATGGCCCAACCCGGACTTGGTCTCTGGTGGTGAGTTAGAGTGATTGGGTTGACCAGTTATCTGTGGAGATGAGAGCTTGAAGACAAGGGACTGGTGATTGAGTGGGATCGGGGGAGCTTTCCTGATAAAAACGCTCAGCGAAGTGGGAATAGAGTGATCACACCTCAACATAATAAAAGCCTTTTATGACAAACCTACAGCCAACATCATACTCAATGAGCAAAAACTAAACTCATTTCCCCTAATAACAGGAACAAGACAGGGATGCCCACTTTAACCACTCCTGTTCAACATACTATTGGGAGTCATAACCACAGCAATCAGACAAGAAGAAAAAAAAAAGGCATCCAAAGTGAAAAGCCGGGTCCAGGCAGGGGCGGGGGCAGGGCCGAAGAGCAAATAAATGTTGACAAAATAAAAAATTTAAAAAAAAAAAGAGGTGCTGGAGGAGGCTGGATGGGCACTTGGGGCACAGGGAGCCCGTGTGGCTGGCACGCCCGATGCCAGCCTTGGTGAATGAGGGGGAAGGTGGGCTCGGTGCAGTAACTGCCAAGAGGGCCAGAGCTGGGACACAGACTCTCCTTGGTTCTGAGTGGGTGGCCAGGTCTGCAGAAGAAGCTCAGCCAGAGGGGGGGCAAACGCTGCCTGTCCCCACCCCCTCACCCCCAGGGCTCTCCAGCCTCCGCAGTCAAGGCCAGGCTCCCCCATCACTCTGACACCATTCCCGGGCACGGGGGTGGGGCCAGCCACCGCCCCAATGCTCACGGTGGCCTGTTCTCCCGGAGGTGCTGATGTCCAGCATGGAGGAGGAGGTGGCCTCTGCGAAGGCCCGCCCGTCGCTGCTGGACCTGTTCCGCGTGCCCGTTCTCCGCCGGAGAAGCTGCTGTCTGTTAGTGGTGAAGTACGCCGCCCTCCCCTCCCCTCCCCTCTGGGACACAGAGCTGCAGAGGGCGGGGAGCGCTGTGGGTGGGGGGGACCCTGCAGGCCTCTTGGGGTGCGTTTCTGGCTGGGACAGGCAGCCCCCCGGAGGCAGGGTCCTGGCAGGCAGGAGAGAGGCAGTGCGTGGAGATGTGGTCGGTCTGGAGGCCAGCTCCGCAGAGGCCAGCTCGGGGGAGGCCGGGGTCAGGCTGAGAGCACAGGGCAGGTGGCTGGAGCGGACCCCTGCTTGTCAGCATTGGACTCACCCCCAGCGGGCTGAGTGCCTGGGGCCAACCCTGTGAGGTAAGAGCACTTACACCCCCAGGGACAGGGGGGACGGCCCAGAGCGGCAGTAACTTGCCCGAGGTGACGAGGGGCACTGGAGCTGAGGTCCAGCCGTCTCCCCTCCCAGGTTCACCTGCTGGGCCCGTGTGGAGCAGGGAAGCCTCGCCCCACCCACCAGCCCCTTTGGCTCCCAAGGGCGCCGGGGACCAAGAGAAGTCCCCTTAGTGAAGCGATTGCCGTTCACGTGACTTCCAGGAGGGCTTGCTGACAAGTGTGAGGGTCGGATTCGATGGGGACTCCTCTTGAAATAAAACGGAAGGTTATGAAACGTCCATTTTATGCCGTATTTGACCACGTGCGGGTGTCTGGGTTATGATGGCAAACACTTGCTGCGCCTTTGATCAGGCTGATCGCAGGCTTTTTGTGTTCACGTTTCTTTCTGACGGATTAGCAGTGACGGGAACCTTCTGAGCGCGGCGTGTCAGCGTTTTGAAAAACCCTAACTTAACTCTGGTGCCGGGTCACATATCGAAATTTTTTGATATTTGCAACCATAGTAAAACAAAGATTTATGTTTTTGATATTTATTTTATATATTTAAATGCCATTTAACAAAGAAAAATCAACCAAAAAAATGAGTTTGCGTGTCACCTCTGACACGCGTGTCATAGGTTCACCATCACTGGATTAGAGGGACCATCCAGGTCTCCTTCCCACCTCCAGGCTCCCGGGGGGGCGCTCTGCAGCCTCCGGGGTTCACAGCGCAGGCTGGAGCCGCTCCACTCCTGTGGCTGTGGGCGGGCGGCTGGCTGAGGCTCTGGGCCCACAGTGCCGGCCCCGTGCGAGCACCACGTCCCCTTCACTCACCCCCATCGCTGACACTGACGCGGAATCTCCGCGGCTTCACTGTGCGTCTGTGGCCTCTGATGCGGGCACAGCTTTCGGGCAGCAGGAGGGCGGGGTGGGGTGGGGGAGTGTCCAGGTGAAACGGGGATGAGGACAGACTTGAAAAGTGGTCAAGAGTAAGTTCACGTCGTGGCCACTTGTGGATCCAAATTCAAACTCCAGACCGGAAATTCAGCTGCCGTAGGTTCAGAGGCCGTGGCAGGGCGCCCTCCCCCCCAAACAGACAGGTCCACCAGCGGGGACCAACGCGGCAAGGGGGGGTGGGCGGAGGCAGGGGAGAAGTCCTGTCACATTCATAGCCAGGCCCAGGCCACCCCTGGGGGCTGGGTGGCCCTTCTGCATTGTCCCTCTGGCCGGGCCCCCCTGTCATGGTGCCCTCCCTGCTGGCAGGCAGCACCCCAAGGGCTGGGGATGCACTTCCCACCCTGAAGGTGGGCCCAGCCGCCTGCCCCACAGGGACGCCCTACTGTCCTGAGTCCCGTCTTTAAAGACAGAATGGCCACCGAGAGGGGCAGCGGCCTCTGGTTGCTAGAGCCGGAGCCAGGCCGTGGTTCCAGAAACAAAGCCAGGGGCGCTGGAGCCGGACGGGGCGCAGCTCAGCTGACCGCGGGGCCCTGTCCACCGGCCGGTCAAGCCTCTGATGGTGGCCAGGAGCCCACCAGGCCCCTAGCCACGGCCCCGCCCTGGGACAGAGGCGGCCACGGCCCTCCCACCCTTTCCCAGGGGACAGCCTGACCCTGGGAGGCAGGTCCTGCACTGGACGGGCTCCTCCAGCTTCAGCAGAGACAAGCCTGGGGGGCAGTGGGGGGAGGTGGCTGCATGCTCAGGGCGGCTGTGCGGGGTGAGAGGGGCCTCTCCCCAACTCTGGCTTTGCCCTGCAGCTTCTCCCACATGATCTCCTACTACGGGCTGGTCTTCGACCTGCAGAACCTGGGGCGGGACATCTTCCTCCTCCAGGTCCTCTTCGGGGCCGTGGACTTCCTGGGCCGGGCCACCAGCAACGTCTTGCTCAGGTTCTTCGGCCGCCGCGTGGTCCTGGCCAGCGCCCAGGCCCTGGGAGGCCTCTCCATCCTGGCCAACGTGCTGGTCCCACCAGGTGAGGCCAGGACAGCGGGAGAAGACGGCCTGCTGACCGCCTGGGTCCTCGCTGCCTGCCCATGGCCGCACTTACCTCGCTGGCCCCCCCCCGTTCCGGCCCTGAGGCTGCCGGGCCCATCACCCCAGCTCTGCCCGTCTGTCACGGTGGCAGCCTTTGCCATGTCATCTCAGGATCCCGTCCCCAAGCAGCCCGCCCGTGTCCCTACGGACATCGCGGGTCAGAGCGGGGAAGTCAGGCTGGTGAGAGCGGGAGCCAGGGCTGGACCAGCCTCGGGCCGGAGGCGGGAGCTGCAGGGGAGAAGGGCCCCGAGGCGGGACGGGTGTGAAGTCGCTGGAGGAGGCAGGACAGATGCCAAGTGTGTGGTTCTCTCTCAGGAGCAGGAGCAGCGAGCTGGGGCTGCTGCACCCGGTCTGACTCCCTGCAGGAGGCACGATGCCTGGAGGCCTCTCCCGTCCCTTCTCAGGAGGCCCCGGGGAGGCAGGGCGGCTGCAGCCTGGACTGGGGCTCCCGTGATCCCTGCTGCTCCCCGTGGTTCTCTGTGCCCCCAGGGCCCCACAGGCAGGCGGAGGGACAGTGAGAAGGATCCTGGGTCCCGCGTGACCCTCTCCTTCACGGGAAGGGCCCAGGGCGCTCAGGGCCAAGAGGCCCCGTACAGCCATGGCCACCCCCCAGCCAGCTCCCCCATCCCAGACCTGGCCGGGTTCTCGCCTTGCACCCCCCCGGCCACTGCCATGAGGTCCTCCTGCCCTGAGTCCCGCCTGGCCCTGGCGGCCTGGCCCTGCCAGTGACCCACTTCCGGCCCAGGCTGGCCGGGGTCCTCTCCGCAGACCCCGTCTCCCTTCCCTCTCCCAGACTGGCAGGGCCTGCGTGTCGCCTTCGCCGTCCTGGGGAAGGGCTGCCTTGGCCTGTGCCTGACCTGCTTCTCTGTCTACAAGTCGGAGCTCTTCCCGACCTCACTGCGGTAGGCGGGGCTGCCAGGCCGGGGTGGGCGAGAAAGGGGCACCCAGAGGGCCAGTGGGGAGGGCAAGGAGGGCTGGGCATCCAGGGATACCCGGCAGAGGGCAGAGGGGGCCGGCTGCCAACATGGAGCTGAGTGCACGGCCCAGCGTCCTTCCCCCAAAGGCCGCCCTCAGCCGGGGCCTCAGAGCAGCCCTTCCCTCCGTGCAGGTAGAATCTCAGAACCTGGTGAGGGAGCCAAGAGCTGCCCTGGTCCAGTGGGGACCCCTCCTCCTCCTCCTGCCCCTCCCTGTCCCGGCAGAGTTACCCTCAGAACCAAGACTCCGTGGGACATGGAAAACCCATGGTCCCAAGTGAGACCACCCCCACATTGGGCAGTTGGGTAAACTGAGGCTTAAGGACTCCAATCCAAGGACTTCCTCGATAGTGGCCCCCGTTCCCTGACTCCCAGCCCAGCGCGTTCCCTCACTCCTGGCACTCGCGCACTCGCTTGTCCATCCTTCCGTTCGGATGTGCGTTGATCGAGCTGGTCGATGTTATACAGAAGCGCACGCTGGGACGCAGGGCCTAGCAGGAGCCCCGAGGCAAGCCTCCCAACCACCTAAGCCCTGCACGGAGTGGGCCCTGCCCTAGAGAGTGCCCAGAGGATGCTGGAAGGGACAACCTAGGTGGGCTCCATGGAGGAGGCGACATTAAGGGAGACCTTGAGGAGGGCAACTCCCTTAGCCCAGTTTTTCCTCCCCTGGCACCTCCTGACCCAGCCAAATGCCCCCCTTTGGTGAGATCCCCCTAAAGTGCCAGCTATGACAAGGGTTGGGGCCACGCCCTCTGCCCACAGGATGGCAGCCGATGGCTTCCTGCAGTCGGCAGGGAGGCTGGGCGCTGTGGTCGGCCCCCTGATCATGACGGCCCGCCAGGCTCTGCCCCTGCTGCCCCCCCTCATCTACGGGGTCATCCTCATCGTTTCCAGTTTTGTCCTACCCTTCCTCCCGGAGACTCGGGGCCTCCCCCTGCCTGACACCATCCAGGACCTGGAGAACCAGTGAGTGACCCCTGGCCCCGGGAGTGGGCGGGGTTCCCCGGGAGTGGGTGGGGCTCCCAGGACTGGGCGGGGCCTCCCAGGAGTGGGCGGGGCCTCCCCTCAGCGCTGTCGCTGGGCGGGCAGATGTGGTGGCCGCGGGTCCTGGGCGGGGAAGGGCAGGGCCTGGGCCGGGCTTGTCATCGGCGACACCACGCTCAGGGCAGCGGCACAGAGGGCGCCAGGCTGGTGTTTCTGAAACCGTTCAATCTTGACCACAGCCCTGCGAGGGAGCGACCATCGCTCTCTGCGTTCACACAGACGAGAGGAAGCGGCTCATTCGCGTCCCACAGGGAGAAGGCGAGGTCCGTAGGCAGGAACACGGGATGGTTCCGAGGCGGCTCTGCAGCCAGGCTGCCCGCGGCTAACCTCCCCCCAAAACTGATGGAGAGGCAGCCTCAGCGGTCCGGGGGGGGGGGGGTCCCACAGAGCATTCCAGGCCCACGGATCCGCAGGGGCGTGGGTCCCTCGAGCCCTCCAGGAACAAATCGTGCCCCCTCATGTATGTCCTTGGAGAGACCAGAAGCGGGGGAACGTCCTCCGCGCTTTACATTCGGAATCCCTGCATGTGTGTCTGCTGCCTCGCCTGTACAAGGCGGTGAAAAAAGACAGAACACAGCCTCGCTCGAGGAGTCGTGTTGGGGTTTAAAAGTCACTGTATGACAGCTCCGGCCGGGCCGGGCCCCGCACTCTGCACGGCTGCGGGGTCCGGGGCGCGGGCAGTTGGGGGCGCTC